CTAACTTGCATCGCTTCCGAGGAGCTCTAGAAATCCTCGCCCTGATTTACAACAGCAGTATTCACACCATCTCAGGTCTCCTGCCCTCCACTCTAGCTGATGCTGCTTACGTGGAAGCAGGGATCCTTTCCTTCCGGTATCGTCTCATTGCAGCCATTATCTTTCTCTTCGACGAGGGGAATAGAACCCTGCGCACGGCTCCCCGGTGGCATTGTTTTTGCACTGGGTATGCTGGATTTGACAGGAACTTAGAAGAGGAGAGCCGAGTGAGAAAGAGAGAAGAGAATGAATGCAGAACAAAAACAGAAAAAAAAACAGTTTGTCGCGTATGTATCGCAATTGGACCCGGTAGAGTAGGAAGGAGTAGAGAAAGTTGGTGTCAGATTGATTATTCCGTGTACTGAGAAATAGTGTGAATATACGGTCGAGTCTTCGACAACATTTGTTAAAACAATCTCTCTTACTTATAAAGGTAGTGCCGAAGTCCTGCGTAACATAAAGACTTCTCTTTCAGGTTTGGATTCATGTTAGATACATTAGTGGGAGATTTCCGAATTGAATCTAATTGGATATTTAACAACTCGGTTGGTGATTTCCAAAGTAGTTAATTATTTTGACACTGGCACGGTGAGAAGTTGGCTCTCTACGAGTATTATCGTCGACAGCATCGCTTTAGAGCAGGAGACAACTATCTAGCTTTGCGTAGATCGGTTGCCGAACTCCTCGGATCCGATTACGCCGGTCACACGCACCGTTACACGGATGGATCCCACTCGAGATCGGGTGTCGGCAATGGTATCAACAATCAATACGAAACTAACGATTTTAAATTGGCTCACCACTTTAGTAGCCTATTGGTCCCAAGCAAAGGATTAACGTACCCTGTTCTAGTTGAAATTCTATTACTACACTATGTTTGTTTTGATTCGCTATGAAAGTTTGACAGATAACATCAGGGGTGTGTGGATTCATGCAGAACATGCAGGGGTGAGTGAAATAGCTTGGGACTGCTTGGGACCGTTGTTCTGGTACTGAGTGAGCCAAAAATAATAATGATTTTCTTCGGGACCCAGTGGTCTTAGAGTTACCTCTATGATGGTATTACATGAGGTGGAATAAGCGCTAGTAACAGTCTGTATCCACAGTGTTCTGTCTTCTTAGCTGAAGCGATCACAACACTCGCTGACCGACCGGTCCTCATCTTAACGGATTCCTTCGGCGCCATCCAGGAATTAAGTTCAGCAGCCCCAAAGCACCCGTGGATACAAGCTACCGCCAAATACGCCCCGCGTAGTGCTGTTTTCACTTGGGTGCCAGAACATTGTGGAGTGCCTGGAAATGTCGCCGGATCAAGATCAAACGGCCCCAGCTTCTCAGACCTGGTACCGCTACAGGACATTCTACGGTAGGTGAGAAGCCAACGGTCCAGGAAGCATGTAAAGGAGAATGGAATCGCACCAGGGGACTCTTCATCCGGAAAATCAAAGGCAGCACGGAAGAATGGAAAGATCTTAGGAGCCTACAGGACCAAAAAAATATGTCCAGGCACTACAGATTCTACTGCTATTTCAATGGAGGAACTTTCCAGAAGAGCTGCGTGATATGCATGTTTCCAGCGACGGTCAAACACGTTCTCTGCGTCTGTCCTGAATTTGAAAATCTCAGGGAAATCCGCGGAATCACATCAAGCGTCCGTGACCTGCTCGGAGACGACTCACCAGCTTCCGCTGCGCTACTCCTGTTCTCTTTTTTTTCGGCTGTTGGGAAGGCTCCAGATGGGTTGAGTCGTTCAGCCCTCATGATGGAGTCTATCCTGTTTAGTCCTTTGCCCTAACATTTCTATACCTTGAGATAAACTAGCCTCAATCTCAAAATCTTAACAATAAAACACTCAACACATGCAGTGACCATTCGGCGAGACGGGATGGAATTCGATTTTGAAATCTGTGCTAGGGAAATCGCTTTTCGCAGGCAATCGACGATAATTTTAATTATCTTAGCAACGGCTGCACATTCGTGCAATTTTCAATAGTGACCTTTTGAAAATTGAAAAAAATCTTAGTTTTAACAGATTTGTAGAAAAAATTCCTATCGATTGGCGTATTAAGAATTAAAATCCATCATCTCTGGATCAAAATCAGACCACTTTCATGCCGTGACTGACTATTATATTTGAAGTTGCACCCCTATGGGAACTGACATCCGATTGAAGACCTTGACAATTATCCTGAAAATACACTTTAACAAATTTATGGTGGTCCTGAAAAGAACCACCGTTTTGTCGTGATGGTTAAGTAATGCTGAGCTATTAGGGTGTTCAACACGGATGAGGCTGGCGAGCTGTATGTTGTTTGGAACGAGGGTGACAGCGACTCAAGAAGAGCGACTGAATCCGTTCAGTAGCTGTGTGGCTTCTTCCTCCTTCTTCGGTGGATCGAGGGTTCTTGAGGGCAGCCTTAATAGCTAGCTGCTTGCAGGCAGCCTTTCGTTGTGTACTGAAGAACAATGTTCAACGCCACGCGCCGAAAGCTGCTGCTGCTGCTCAAGACGACCGACCGGACATCACCACACACGGTGATTGAATAAGCACCGTTCAGCATGACCGGATGAAATTCGTTTTTTAAATCTGTGTTAGGGAAAGCGCGGAGATAATTTTGATTATTTTGTGTAATTTTCAATAGTGACCTATTGTAAATTGATAACGAGTTCATTTTAGCAGATTTCTAGAAAAATTTCCAATCGATTGGTTTGCTTAGAATTAAAATCCATCTGCTATTGACAGAGTTATAAGTGGTCAAAACCTGACCACTTTTCGTAACGCTGTCGATTTTGTTTTTACCCTTCTTACAAAGAAGGGTATAGATATCACTTGAAAAACCGACTATCTGGATTAGTTTCGTGGATGGTGCACTTTTACTGATGTTCCGGATCTTCCGAAGGACAGTCCTTTTGCCATCCGGGTCCATGTTTATGTCATGACCCCACATTATTTCTTATAAAAATATGTTACTAATGTTTTCGAAAAAATTTCGGAGCTGTCGGATCAGTTTCATGAATTGACCACTTTTATGGATATTCTGGATCTTCCAGAGGACTGTCCCATGGCTAGCCGGGGCCACGTTTCGTCACGACCCCAATTTTTTTCTTATATCACAGTTACAAAGTGTTTTCGAAAAACCGAAGTAAATTTACCACTTTTACGGATGTTCCGGATATATAGGAGCCATCGCTGTATTCTGGTTAATTATGAACATTTATGCTCATTGATCAAAATTATTGATTTTAAGCCACTTGTTAGCTATTCAAACTGACGGGGTTCAACGGTACCAGGGACCACATCGACCACAGATGGAAAGTGACCAGAGTCTGACGTACACTAAATGACATCAAAATTCAAGAATATGATCATTTGTGGCCAATTCGAACGCCAAAAGCCGTATTGACCACATCAGTGTTGGGAAAATCATCAATCAAATGATATTTTTCCGCTCTCATACGCTCTCAATATCACGCGTGATATTGGAACAAAATACCATGATTGATATTGGTTTTACGAGCTCCTTTGATATTGCGAGACTATTCCCAGCGTGCAAAAGTTAATCTGAGAGTTGATTCGACACAAAAATGATTCCGTTGCACATCATTTTCTTAAGCTGGGTTTAGATAGGGCAAGTCAAATGATCAACTCAGTTGAATTCAATTGGCTTGAAAAGTTGAGCCTGGTTCAACTTTTTTTTCAATTCAAGTGAGTTGATCAAGCCAGTTGAATGGCATGGTTTACACGTTCAATTCGCGTTCAAGTCAGTTGAATTCAACTGACTTGATCAATTGACTTGCCCTGTCTAAACCCAGCTTTAGAAAGGGAGGGTTTGCTATCTCTTTTAATTATTCGCCGATGGCAGACACGAAGCTACTGCTGCCAGCAGTGACGGTAGTTTCGGGTCGCGGTCGGATGCAAAGCAAAAATCATGAAACCACGGTTTGGTTAGAGTTGTAGCTGCTTGATATTCGTAGCTTCGATATCACGGCTTGTACGGATGACATTCGCAGTTGCTTGATTTTTTGATATCATGGCATGTTCCGAGTGCTATCTGGCCAAAATCTGCCATGAACCAATATTTATCACATGATAATTCAGACCATCACACATCAGTAATCATTTTCCTTTCCTTCCCTGATTGCAGACTTGAGCAATTTTTCCAGAATTATAATACATAAGAAGGATCAGATCTCACCATAGTTTTATAGATTCAGGTTTTCTTTCTGTTTTCTCGAATCCCATTATTATACCTATATCTTTTGACAATGACACGGAGTTGAAGTTTTCCTCCAAACGAACAGCAGTGTGCACTTTCAGTATGCTCATTTCTCTACAAAGTAGCGAACCCATTACGGTTCAAGCGCCTAGCGTCGTGTCCGGGTGGCAACGTCGTCTAATGATTACAATCTATTAACGATGCAATCCGGAATTGGTAAAACCCGAAAAACCCAGATTCAAAATCGGAACTACCGACAAAAAGTTCGTTTCGTGCGACGTTGCTCTCTTCTCTCGCCCCATGGCGAGCATGAGGAGCGAATCGCAGATTGCGCCTGTCAGCTAGGCAGCACGCACGCATCTCAGTTCACCCCGTGCGGGTTCTCTTTTCTCTGCCAGCACTCTGTGATGCGAGCTCTCTTCTTCCTGCCGTCGTCGTCGGGGTCGGGAATCACATTCCGATGGTTTTTCCAGCGTTGGAAAAACACGCTCCCGTCAGTCCAGTAGCGATCGTGACCGCGCCAAGGGGTATTCTCTTTCGGGCGTCCGCACAAACCGAAAAAAAAGTCCTAGTTACCATCACCGTCGTTGCCCGCCTACTTCGACCCTTCCAAGGCAGCTGCTGCACATATCTAGTATACATTGGGGTGCGTGTGGGTGACAGGAAGTTTAGGAGGACCACGTGTGGGTTGGAGTGCGTTCGTGCGAAGCTTTAAGCGCTGGAAGTGGTGTTGTGGTGTCAGAAGGTAAAAAAGAAGAAGCAGCAGCAGTTGGCTGGTGGGGAAAATCGTATTTCCGTTCCGTGTGCAATCGTGAATCTTCAATAGAAGACTGCATCCCGTGGTCTTTTTGTTCTTCTGTAAAAAAAAGGAAAAACGAGGTAAAGGGCCCAGAAGCAAGAGAAGGAGGAGAGGATACGAAGCGAAAAGCGAAAAGGGCAGGAGAAGGAGTGTGTGAAAATTTGGTAACTGGGATTCGGGTCCTTTCGAGCATGTGGTGGCGTACTGTGAGTGACGTGAAAATGGATCTGTGTTAAATTCTGCTGCAGCAAATCCAACGGGGAAAAAGTTTACCAGTAAGCCATTTGGTGAATATGAAATTGTGATAACTGGCCAAACCGGGAGCTTTACGCTTGGTGCAAAGCAATCAATTATCGTAGGAAAATCACACGGGAAAAAAATCAAACAAACCAGTCGCAACCGAATCGGGATCTTACATCACAGGAGGATACCCCGTATAAGGTGAGCAATTTTTCGTTCTGCTTAGTCTGCTGGAAGGCTAAAATTTGGTGGAGCAGCAGCAATCAAGGAGAGTGTGGCCAGAAGCGAGAAGACAGCGAAAACCGAATGACCAGAAAAAGACAAACTGTTTCAAAATAGAAAATCAATGAAAATTTTCTCACAATCTCGCTTGAATGAGCCACCAACAGGGCAGAGGGGGAGGGGAAGGGTAAGCGGGAGGGCGTTCGAACGGTGGTCGGCTGAGGCTTCGCTGCTTCGAATCGGGGTGGCATGTGCATGTGGTGCGCGCTTGAAGAAGGCAAATTGCGATTGTGTGAGTGCTTCCTTCTTCGTTCTTTTGTGTGTTTGTGTGCAGGTTGTGAATTGTCGTGCAGCAGAACCGTCAAGAACAGAAAAGGTGACAAGAGGGAATGAAAATCTGCTCACGTCATACACATGACAGTGATACATCTGTCGAATCACGTATTTTTCGCCTCACATTTTTTTCTCTCTCGGTAAGCTCGTAAATGCGTGTGAATGGCACGCACACAAACGAGAAATGGAGTGTAAAAAGCTTGCGACGAAGCGACATGGCGTGGATTTCAGTAGTGGGACGTAGGTAGTGGACATTAGCAGATTATTGAATGAAAAACAGATTGCCGAAGAATAGCAATTGATTTTTGCGGAAAAAAAAATTTGGATGACATCCAACTTTCGACGATAGTTTTAAAAGCAATAATTGTTCGAGCATGTTTTTGATCTCATGGGCGAATTTCACGTCAATTCGATTAGTGGTTGGCAGCACCTTTTCAGATTTCAATGAAACTTTGTGGCTGTCAAGATTTCGGGCTATTGAGGTAATTTCATATTCGTAATCTGCATTACAAATTGAACCGAAATCCAAAATTTCATCGATTTTTGAGCACTATTTGCTACATTGCATGAAATGCCTCAGAACTTTACATGATATATAATGTAAACTTATATGATATGTGACGCTCCATTTAAATATGTGCATCATATTGAACAGAAATTTACATTACTTTTTCGAACTGTGCAGCTTAGCGCCCCTTGGTGGTACTTTGTATGGGAGCGAGCTGTCAATTTGTTAGTTTTGTGTCAAAATGCGTAGTGATTATTTTGCTTTAAATCTTGATTTAAAGATCACGATGGAAGTCTAAACAGTCGAAAAAAAAATTTGTTGTGCTCAGAAAACGAAGCCCTTTCAAATGATAAATAGAACCCGATATATTTTTCAAAATAACAGAACCCAATTGTTTCTTTAAAAAAATCTAGAGCCTTTTCGAAAAAGGACGGAACTTTTTTTTTTCTCTACAAAAAAAATATAATTTAAAAATGATACGACCTACAAAATTTTCGTACGACAGTGAACTATAGAAAATTGTGTGAGCTTTCTTAAGAAAATATCATAAAGTTAAAAATCTCATTCCTTCACTAAAAAAAATAAATAAAAATTAAAAAGGAGATTGGGCAAATCTGGTCCTGTGATGTACACGAATGACATATATATCATTTGAAAGGTCTCATTAAGACAAGAAAAAGTTGGTATGGGGTCAAAACTTTTTATCGTGGGAGAAAAAAGGTATCCCGTATATTCTTAACGAATTTGAGGTGTTTTAGTTTTTCCATCTATATTTAAAAACATAACGATGTCTCACATGTCAGTCCAACAATCTAAAAACGCTATTAAAACTAAATTATTATGAATAAATCAAAATTTCAAAGAATTCTGCATCTTATCAACCAAATATTACTGCTAAATCGTGGAATTCTGGTAGATCCCCAGACATTAGCTCGTTGCCTGCTCAAATGGTTGTTTATGACGTATTCAGACAATCAATTAGGCAGGTTGATTCTTTCATTAATTATATCAAGAAAGTCGGGAGCCCGTGCGTTGTTCGCAACAGGTGGGTGGAACGCATTTATTAGGGTTGCTGCCACTCTGAAATCTTCAAACATATGCTGCATAACCACATTGAAATAATGTTGACAGAACAACGTGAAATCTCGCTTGAATCATCCGTTAACTTCCTCAATCACCCATCGAACAGATGGTAACCAACCGTGACTGATTGGCCTGCTCCGTTATCAGTTGGTCTTGATTCCGGGTTTTGGAATATGGCATCACTGCTTCATAGCCGAATAAACTCAGTTCTTCGAATTCCTCTGTCCAAAATAAAAACATCACCTAGCCTATGAAATCAATGCATCACAGCAAACGATTAGTAAAGGTTTCAATAGATTATCGTACTTATGAAGACAGTACGATTTTCGCTGGAAAGAATAGCTGCTGCTTTTCTAAAATATACATACGTACGTGCCATCGGAGATGACGAATGCTTTTTGCATTTCCAGTGGAACATCCATGTTTCCGTGTATTGATCATGAGATTTCTTCTCACCACGCCTTCTCGGTCAATATGATCAAATCCTAAATGCCTGGGTACAAACTATGTACAGTTATAAACATTCTCTGGTTTTGTTGAGGGGTCGTAAAGTGTCCATCGGCTTATTTTAAACAATGCACTTAGATTTTCGTTCGATGCACCACTACGCAACTTTACAAGATATATTCCCAAAGCCGTACCTGGAGTAACACATCTGTTTGTAAGGGATGGAATTTGCTCAAGAATTTTTTCGAACTGTCAAATCCTACTAAATAATACAGTTCATTATCGTCCATTTCCAACAAGTTTTCGAAATCAAATCCATTTTGCTGCAAAGCAGCTCTAAAAATATCAAACATTTTTTTTTGTATGGGTGCCGTTGAAATAGTGGTTAAGGTTGGGAGAATCCAATAATTCATTCAATTCGTTTTCTCGTAAATGCTCCTGGCACACTCTGGAATTTTGTGGAACATATTTGTAATGGTGGATTAGCAAAAACTTCTTGATTCCAGACGGAATACGGCATCTTGTATCGTTGTGACAATTAGTAAAAATACAGCGATTAGATGTATTTGCTGCCGTGAATACTCGTCAATCTCGAGGAATCCCACGGTATTAAGCTGTTCATTTCCAGCATGAGCATTTCGGTTAGCGCTGACCCAGTAAACATGACAGAGATATTCTTCGACGTTAAAAACAATCTATGAAAGAAAATGTTAACAATTCAACAGATATAGTATCTTAGTTTTGCATTATATTTATTGTCGCTAGACTTGGAAACCGAAATGGCCAACTCACGACAATCGATTTAACTCTCGTTCTGTACGTTAAACATAACGTCGCATCTAGTGCGCTGTATAGACTTCTCTGGCGTTTATGAAATGCACAAGTATTAGTGCAGAACTTGGGGTAAATTAAAAGTATTCGTGCATGAAAACCTTTGAATTCACCCAAAGTTCTGCACTAATACTTGTGCAATTCATAAACTTCAGAGAAGTCTATTCGTTAAGTGATGCGAAAATACGTTATCGAGTTATCGATTAACAACCCTGATATTGCACTCAATTCATGGTCAAAATAAAAGCCCTTAACACGGTGAAAACGAAGTGAAATCATAACTTGTCACTCACGGTGAAGTGATTTCCTATTTGATTTGCCCAGTAATCACTTCAGCGTGGATGAAAATTCGTCACTTCCCTTCATTTTACCCGTAAAATAACACCCGTAATAAGGGCCAAATACTTTTTCCATAACACTGAATCCATACAACTCAAACCAATCTTTTGTATATTGAGGCACTCATCCCAAAAATATATACGGATATACTACCTCATTTGGTGCAACTGTATTAGTAATGAAAACGGCCACATCAGGATGTAATTCGAATAAATCTCTAGTTAACAGACGAAAACATCTTCGTAGTACCGAACAGTTGCAAAGTAGGCAAAACATGATTTCTGTGTTGCTCGGGAAATCAAATGATTTTTTTTTTAGCGAATGATCAACGAAGTATCTGCAGAACAAATACATATTTTAAAGATAGTTGACATTACTCTTATGAAAAACTGGACAAATGTAACACAATATACGGTGATATTTATGAAGTAAACCAATTCCGGCAAACAAAATGGAGTTGGCAATAAATCTGAGTGAATTTGGTTTAGATAGGATACACTACTCGAGCTCCGTCGAACCGTTACCTGACCTTATAGCAAATCAGAAAAGAAAATAAGTGCGAGATCAACAAATAAGAGAGTAATTATATAATAGAGGCCATGGAGTTAATTTATTTTCACATAGGTTGATGCTCCCTTATTTAAATCATCGAACAATGGTGTATGATAATGATAAGTATATAGGTACGGGAATCTGAGGTCACTTGATCTCTGTTATTATTTTCCAGTGCTATTGGATCCTTGTTATTAAACTGTTTATAGAATTATCTAACAATCATCAATTTCAATACTTTTATATAATACTCATTGTTTGGCTACTCATACTTATATACATGTTACATTCCGTTGATACATAGTGTTAATCGGACTTAGTAGGCGCTAAAGCCAGTTTTTTTTTATCGAGTACCCCGTGAGACCCAATTAAAGAGATTAGTGGTGTAATGCTGCTCGTGGTTACCTGTAAGCGTATGTGAGATCAGTGAGCTTGTTACTCGGAGCCACGGAGCATTTGAAAACCACCGCTCTACGGAAGTGCCGGGATGATGATGATGATGATGGTGATGATGAGGATGATGATGATGATGACACAACACACCACATGCAAAAAGGAAAAGATGATTATATAGCAAAATGAGCAAAAATGGCCAATTGCCAACATTACACATCGAGTAACTTTTTTCTCGCACGGTAAAATTTTTTGATCTCATACCAACTTTTTCTTGTCTTAATGATACCTTTCAAATGAGATATCAGTCATTGATGTATATTCTTGGACCAGTCTCCATACATTTTTGCCCAATCTCCTTTATTAGTAAAAACAATTAAAGAACATTTCAGTTAAATTGGCAAATTAAAGTTGCTCCCGTGGAGAAAAAAAGAACTATGAAAGTGATGATGATTTAATACGAGTGCAACCTTAATACTCCGAACACGGTGCC